TTTTCAAATTAAATCAAATTAAATTTTGTTCTTGAACTTTTTTCAGCGCTATCTTGGAAATCAGACAAACAAAATTTTATTTTGGAAATATCTGTGGTTCTTGCTTTTTTTGCAAATTACTGCTCAATTTACCTACGTTTTTTTTACTGTCGAATATGCTCAAATTTTAGGCAATCAACCAGATTTTTCAAATCAGACTAAAAACAAAAAATGTAGTGTAATTTGAAAAATCTGGATGATTGCCTAAAATTAGGCATACTCGTTAGTAAAAAAAATAGGTAAAATGAGCCGTTATTTGCAAAAAATGATGCAAGAACCACAATGAGCTCCAATGAGCTATTTTTTTATTTCCAAGATAGCGCTGAAAAATATTTTTAAAACAAGCTTGCTTCGTCCACATAAATTGAACTAAAACGGTAAGTCTTAACTAATTTTTTTTCAACGTTAGGACAGTTTTATGAAACTTTTTAAAGTTTTTGAGAATATTTTACTCAATTTTTCCAGTGACAATTTAATATACCTAATTTTTCCTAGAAAACAAAAGTTGGCTGCTCGCTAACCTTATTCGAAACAAGACCAAAAATCAAAAAATGAAAACCTGTTTTTCTCAACAATGACACAAGTTTTTGAATCCCGACTGAAAAAAATTCAATAAAGTATATCACTCGATTCATTCCGATGATTATTTGTAGACCCAGAATTTGCGTGGAAAAGAAAAAGATTAAAAACAAGAACACATCGGAACACAAAATTCTTCCCCATTGCCAATGGTCGGAACAACAAGTTGGAGTAAAACCAATTGCTAAAAGTAAAAAAGGGGTTGTCAAAATGTAAATATTCAGCATTTTCCGCAGAAAACAAATTATATTTGATTTGGAAAACATTAATCTATTCGGAACCTAATATTTTTTGTAAATAAATATATAAAAACAATTTAGTGTAAAATTAAAGAAAACTGCTGGAAGTATACCTCAAACAACTGATTCCTTTTACAATTGTTTGTAAGTATTCAGTGAATTCGATCAGTGTTATCAAGATTCAAAGTTTATCTGACATGGAAAAGCTTTTGAAGAATTTGTATTAAAAAATTACGGACGCGGTCAGCACCCAAAGTTTATGCAACGTGATTTGAGAATTAACTTAAACGATATTTCTTTTCTAAAATCGAAAAACTTTGATAGAACATTAGGAATGAGTTCAGACTACGACTACAACGAGTTGACTGGAAGAATTTTAACTCAACTGGGCACACTGATTCATATTTCTTAAAATACACTGCGCTGTTGCTTAACTTTCAATTGATGACCTTTGTTTGCATAGGTTATCATTGCTTTGACGAAAAAAAAACCGGAAACCAAAAAACTATTGCCAACAATTTGGCATTAATTATAGAAATATTGTAGCTATTTTTTTTGATAATTACTTAGAAGCCGATCCGAATTCAACTTTATCTCTCTGATCATCAGGTAGAAAAAAAATTATGAAATCAGTCGAAATTATGTGTTACAAAACTTTAATTAGTTGAGTTAAAACAGCGGCGGAATTGCTGGTGAATTAATTGGACTCATTCAACTTTTCGATTGAAGTTAGAAATAATTGTGCCTCGTGAGAAAAATTCACAACAGTAGTTAATAGAATTTGGTATCTACTCGACTTAGCATTGACATAGTAAAATAGAATATAAAAACTAGAAAGTTATAAATGGTGCTGAAACTATTCAAAAATTAGCTTCTGAAGATAAATAATTACCCTAACTGACGAACCTTAGTGAGTTACAGAGAAGTTGATTTTTGGGTAGCGGTAGAGTATTAGTGAGTAAAAGTATTAGTATTAGTTAGGTAGAGTATTAGTGGGTAAAAGAACTGAACGAAAGAAACAACACACGTTTAAAAATAAGTTAAATCGTTGACCCAAAAATTTGGGGTAGTCATTTAGCTGTCAAAGATGTGATGTAATGAATTTAGAATTGTGCGCAAAAAACAGAAGTTGAGAAGTTTTGTGTTAGAGAATTGAAGAATATTAGATGGAGAGGTAATCAAAACAAATTGATTGAGCATAGCGGGTAAAAAGTCCGGGTAAAAAGAAGAGTTGGTAGAAGTGTAGTGGTTCAAAGAACACGGATTTAAAGATCAGTGTGAAGACTATTCATTTCAATTGAAAGTCAATACATTACCGGAAAAACTTACTGCATTTCAATCAAAAATGAAAAAAGTTTCGAATAAAAGGCTTCTGTTGAAATATTTTAATTTCATACTTTTTAAAATTAGACAATTTTCTACCAAACTTTGAAGGAAAAAAATAAATCTATTTGGCTAATTTTTTAAGTTGAAGTACCCTAAACTATGGTTGATTTTTTTAACAAAAGAAGAATTACCATGGAAATCTTTGCATCATTTACATGAAAAGCCAAAACTACTACCGAAAACTTTTTTCTACCAGTTGATTAAATTTCATTCAAGTTCTCATATGCACGTAATGAAATTTTGGGCGTGTTGCACCGTGGATGAGGGTACTAAAAATACATCGCCGCTATTTCTTGCCAAAATACGTTCATCTGGTTCGAGAGATGTTGTTTGCTTATAGCTTTTTTTTCTTCCGAGCAGTTTAATGCAATGATTCTAAACGTAACGCAAAACAATTTATTGCAAAAGCAACATAATAACGTAGAAACGTCGTTATAAATCATTTTTTTAAATTTCATGTCAACGTTTTAAACCATTGATCTCGAAATCATCGGGCCAACTAGACTAAATGCTGATTACTCCAGCTTGAAGAAACCCCGAGGAGCACAACAACTTCCCGCTAAACTGAAAAACCTTGTATCAATGGGTTATTGGACTCTTCATCAAACATTTTTGAAAATGAGACAATAAATATTTTTATGATGTTATACTGTTTTCGCAAACCTGCATTTTTTAAAAACTTATACACTTATGATAGCTTGTGCAAAAGCAGTAGATATTAAGGTCATAATGAAATATAAAAGTGCCTCGAAACATTTTGACTTTTTTACATCAAACACGTAATCACGGATGGTGATAAATACTATCTGTTATTTGTAAAAAAAACAAAGATTTAAACTACATCAAGTATAGTTCGATCACTACTAAGCATAACATATACTTGGATTATAACCAATCCTTGACACAAAATTTAGGTTTTAAAAATCGGAACTGTTCGGGGGGGGGGGGGGTTGAAAAATTGCAATAATAACAGATATAAACCTTTTCTCACTGAACAAATTGAAAGTGGTAATCAATCAATTTGAATGAAAATTTTTATGTTTGACCTCATATGCATAATGTTGGTAATTAGTCAATTTCATGTTTGTTTTCGATTAATTTGCGGTAGATTGTGATTCGATACATTTCTTTCAACTAGATTTCAATTAAATTTCTTGAAAGTAAAATAAATGTTTTCTCTAGCCTAAATTTATTTATTTGCATATAAAAGTAACGTTACTTGATCGCTTTAATTGGTCACAGCTAGACAAAAATTGAAAAAAATTTTGAGCCAATTTTTTTCCACACTGGAAAAGGACTTTAAAGTTTTTTTAAATCTTGCTCGAATCTCACCTGAAAAAGCTTGGGAAGGTTTTTTTCTTACGCATTCAATACCCAAATACTGATGATTAAGGATACATGTTAATGAGAAAAAAATTAATTTTGCCAAATTTGGTATTTGAAATGAATAGAAAACATCAACGGTTGTTCTTATAAGTAACTGTTGTTTTCACTGTGAAATGAGTTAAGCTCACTGCTGGTCATTTAAGCTCACTGCTTTCAGGCTAATTAAAAATTCCCGAAAGTTTTTGAAATGCATGTGTGAAAAACTGTGTCCATTTTCAGAAAAAAATGATTGTTCATAAAATCTATTATCATATTAATTTCAGTTTAGCAGAAGTCGTTTTTCCGCTAACACTTTCAATTCAATTCTTTTCAATTGATCATGTTGATTTAACTTTTTCAATTGTTTTTTTTTAACAGACTACCTTAAATTCGAAACTCAGGAAGTTTTTTAAAATGCTTGAAGAGATTCGAAACGATAGTTAGAGGTGCAAAAACAAGTTTTAATTCCGATAATTGTTCGAAGGTATTATAAATTTTAAGCAAATTTCGTTCAACAGTTGAGCTAGGAGCTAACCAGTGAATAGGGTTTATTGCTATTGAAAAAAATTATCAAAAGCTCAATTACGAGGTAAAAAAAATGAACAGTAAAATACAAAATTTCTCTGTAGCATTCATTTTGTTTTACAGAAGTTCGCAGAATAACCGTAGAACGCTAGTAACAAGTTCTGAACACTGGCGGCCATGAATTACACTTTGATAATTTGCTTGATTTTTTCAAACAGAAAGCTTTCACAATTTTAAGACCTTCGGTGTGAAAATATTTGACGATGTGATTCATGAAGCCCTGAGTTGTGGTAAAAAATTGTCTAAAAAACTTCGTAGTACTGCAGTGTAAAGTTTTGTTTGGTGATGTTTTGGACTTTAAATGTATTCTTTTATAAAGTGCTATTGAACTTAGAAAGAAGCAAAGTTACTTGAGCCCCCAGCTGCGGTTCCCAGATATGATATTGTTTCTTCCACGGTTCTTCCCCTGGTGCAGTAAATTTTTAGGGTCCGTCACCAAATATGGATATCTCAAAATAGTACAAAGGGGGACCCTTTGGGTCCGTAGGGGGTCGAATCCCTGAGAGAAGGGGCGTCCGCCCCCCCCCACCCCTAAATCCGCCCCTGCAACCCCTACCTGTTGGGGTATTAGCGGATTACTTAACTACCTTCCTGTGTTGAAAAGTGCGTCTATTTTGGCTGATTTTTCTTACCAAATTAGCTCAATGCGCTCAAAAACAAGATTTTGAGTTTAATCGGTTCATTAAAAAAAATGCTCAAACCATTCGAAATATTGCTTTAATTAACTCTACTCAGGTTTTTAAATTCATGATGTTTTAAAATTCTACGCTGTAAAAATAAACAATACTAATCCAAATTGTGACTGACCTTTGTATCTAGCCTCATCGACAAATTGTTTTGAGTGAACTACCGTTCCCTTGAACGTTTCTTGGCCAGGGTATGTTACGTAATTCGGGCAACTGAAGTGACCTGTCGCTACTATTACGTAATCAAACACCTCTTCTCTCTCCTGTTTCGTTTTCAGGTCTTTCACGCTGACATTGAATTTTTTCACGCTTTCGTCAAATGTCACATTTTGAATCCAACTGTTGAATTTGATATACTTTTCAATGCCGAACTTGCGGGCGAACTCTTCAAGGTACTCAAGCATGTAACTTCGATAGGGATAACTGGTACTTCCGATTTTGGGGTCATCTTGTTTCAAAGACATCGGGAGCTCAGGAAGCTCCATCACTTCTTTGGGATTGTTCGTTCTGAGGCCTTCATACATCGGCGAGTGCGTTTCGATTTCGTCTTTCTCGATTCCCTCTTCCCCCCTGTTAAATAATTTAATTACAATTTTTCTAAATTCATAGTAAAAAGTTTAAAGTAGGTTTATTCCGAAGCTAAAAACTTGATGCTAATTATAATTATAATAATAAGTTTGTTTTCAAGCTATGTGCGCTGCAAAAATGTATAAAACTTTATAACCAACATTCGAAGAACACCAGCTTGAGCGGACCATGAAGGCTATCTAGTGATGCTGATGCTAATTGCAGTAAAAACAGTTTTTGACAAGTGCGCTCTTCAATGTTAGTTATTTACTGGTGCTCACTTTTTACAATCAGACATTTTTGTTAATAATATTTTTATAAGTACGAATTCCCAGATGGGAGAGAGAGCAGCACATCTATTCAGATTTTTTCAAACTTCCTCCCCCTCCCCCCCCCCCCCCCCTACGTTTTCTTCATAAGTGGATTCAGTGACGGCTTAGGTCGGGATTGGTGCAGAGGATGGAGGGGATTTGATTTGTCAAGAGTTCAAACCTTTTTCATCAAAGAGTCAACCGTTTTGTTGGTCCTATTTTACGTCCTGCATTCCATTTTTTGGCCAATCAAAGACGACTTTCTCCGCAACGTGGTATTCTATTGGAGAATGAGGTAAGTTATTCTCTTTGCGTATTTTGGTTTTCAAAGGGAGAGCTCGGAAAATTCATTACGTAAGACTAAAATGGGGCCTATGAAGTTTTCGAATGTTTTCTAATTTTAAATTCGTCACGCGAACAACCCAAATCAACCCTAAGCTTCAACCCTCAAAATCCAGCATGTATCTAGTGTATTTTTAATAGATTCAAATTTGTTTTCAATGAAATTTTCAAGATAGTTAATTCTATTTATTTTCAAAAAAATGTTCTTCAAACTTTTCTTTGTAAAAAAACTGTATCTTTATTTGAGCAAGGTTTGTTAAAAATCTCATTAATTAAAAAATCTACTCGAAAACCGTTTAATCGACTCATTTTGAAACAAGATAATACACGCCATAAAAGACCCTCCCAATCCACTCATTTATTGCTGAAAAAGGCGTACACCTAAATTGGCTAGAAATAACTCACTTGAAGTTCCAGATACCTCCGATTGTATCGTATCTCTCGAAGCAAACCACTTCGTACCCTTCCGACTCAGAGACTGTGACTGCAGGTTCCAGACTCTGCAGGGCCCGCAGAGTGGTAACTCCAGCAGGCCCCGCTCCGATCACACAAACTCTAGTTCGCATCTTGTTCCAGGACTTGCAGTATAATAACTAAACTTCGGCTGCTGTCAGGAATAAACCACTCAAAACTGTTTCGTATTTCGTATTTTCTGAAAACAAAATAAGAATACTGTCGTCTTTCGTTTTTTTTTCTGAAGAACTGCGTTAATAGAAAGGGGCTTCCAAATCAAGATGCGATTTTTTCGAATCTCATCTGAAATTTTGTTTTCGAAATTTCGTTTTCATCTGAATACAGTTTTTCGCAGTATAGAGAGTTGCAAAAAGTTCGGACAGACAGAAATAATTAAAAAGAGCAAATGACCTTTTTCAGACAATTTTTACATGCAAAAGCTAATTTTTCAGACAGAAAGTATGTCTCAATGTCACCTAAAAATTCAAATCTGCATGCAAAAATTGCTCGAATTTGGCAGATTGCTCTCTTTATTTATTTCTGTCTGTCCGAACTTTTTGCAACTCTCTATAATATCACTTTCGGCCTACAAATCTGAACGAAATGAAAAAACTTAGAACTGCTCATTTCGACGTCGCATTTTAGCTTTTTACTGATTTCAACACGTAAAAACCATTTCGAAAAAACTAATTAACCTAAAAACTGTAGTTTTTGAGCAACTAAATTATTCAAGGTCACTGATTTTGCCTACAATTTGCCTGCCAAAAAGTTCAAGGTTGTTCGGCTTCAGATTTTGCATGCAAAAAGCGTCGAAAAGCACTGACTGCTCATTTTAATTAAGTCTGTCTGTCCGAACTTTTTGCTACTAATTATATAGCTTACACAGTGCTGATTTAAATTAACCGGACAAAACGCGTTAAACTTGAAATTTAAAACCCGTTTTTCTCAAATTGAGTTGAGTTTAGGTGAAAACTTATGAAGACAAAACTTGCTTAAAATTTTAGCAGAATTAATATGGTGTAATTGGTTTTGCGAAATTCGGGTCCGAAATTTTACCCCAAAAATGGGTCATTTTGGCTTTTCTTAGTTAATCAAAAATTACGCAGAAAATACCCAGTCCATCACAGACATAATTATATCAAAGTGAGCCCCTTAAGTAGCCCAACAAACTTTATAAAAATTTTCATTCAGCAACGATCTGGCATGCGTTTTGTCAGTATAAAAGAACCGATAAAAAGGCGGCAAAAAAGTTTACGCGAAACTTCAGAAAATTATTTTAAATTAATTTCAGCTTGAAGGGCAGAATTTTATCAGAAGTTTGAGCCGTTGTCCGATAAATTTGTTAAACGTTATATCTAGTGAAAACTAATCTTTGGCCGTATCATTTTCGGTCAACGAATCTCAAGGTAGTTAAAGAAACTTTATACTTAAAAGCAAAACTTTCGTTCTATATCACTTGTCTGTTTCAACTTTTTGTTCGGACTCTCCATAATTGATGGCAATTTGAGCCACTTGATGGCAGTTTTCACGTTAACTAGGCCTTTTGACATGGCTTTCAAAAATCCAAATGATTTTTAAAAACATCGACATCAAAAGTATCTATTTGATATTCATAAGACCCCTAGAAAAAAAGCGTCGTATGACTGTAAGCTCAAGCTTCTGCAAGAATTTAGCAATTAGTCTGAGTAAACCTCTAATGGGCCAAAGGCCGAAAGCGCGAAAGCTTTACAACCAATAACAGCCCAGTATCCAAAAACTCGAAACGACTAAGCAGCAATTTTTGTTAGTTTTGGACAGTTTAAAGGGCGCTGGTTGGAGCATCTGGACCTGATGAAAAAACTGGACAACCGCCAAAAACCAGAAAAAGTGTAGTGTTCAGAACGGTGAGCAGGACAAGAGGCGGGGCGCTACTAGTGCGGGGGATCGTACGAAGAAATCGGTGACTCCCACATCATCGAAGAAAAAATCCAGCCCAAAGAATAGAAGCGCGGAGGACACCTGTTTTGATAAGGAGATACAGATCTGCGTTACTGGGGGCAGGACTATGTGCAGGGCGACACAAGGGACTAAGAGAGCAGGTATCTAGGCATCTTGTAGCTGTGTTGGATAAGCTGAGACGAAATGAGAAACACACAGGGGTTACAGCGGCAAGGATTAGGACTAATAGGAAAAATCCTAATCTGGGCAAGCTTGTGGACATTGCACTAGCGGAATTATAGAGAACGGGGGAGGCGATTGATCGTGCACGGAGCGAAATGTTTTGGCGAATTAGAGAAGAGTCGGGGACATCAGCGCAGATCACACGAAGAGTTGAGATCAGCAGGTCTATCAAACACGAAGGGTGTCGGGAAATTGTCCGTTAAAGCACGCCTTTGGCTGTTCAGGAGCGAAGCAGAAGCCAATCGGAGGGAAATTAAGTACAACCGGAGGAACAAAAACTAGCGTTAGAAGATGATTGAAGAACAGTTGTGCCAACGGGAAAGATAAAGGGTACGGCGGAGGGAAAAAAACATCAGCGGCTATTCAAACGGCCCATTTGCAACGGACGCATTGGTTATAGCAGATGAAATTTCTGCTATAAGCTTGACCGAAGACGACCAGAGAAAAATTCTAGAAAAAATTGAAAATATGTGACTGGGAGCCTGACCGTGATGGGGAAGGAAATTGGGCATAAATGACCGACTGAATTGAAGTACAATTTGAAAACTATTATAGTACTAGGCTATTAAAGACAATTAGATATATTATATTTGTTCGATATTGTTAGTTATTTTGAATTTTCCGTGGGTGAATGTAGTGTAGAAATCATACTATGAACCTATGGCATGTTTACATGTATTATTGTTATATTACGTAACGTCATATAACTGTCCAGGTCAACGTTAGAGTTACCGTTTTACAGGTGTACAGCTAGTAGAAGGTGTTACGGTTAAGAAATAAAATTGGTTCTCTTACGTTTTTATTCACGCATACTCCCTCCCTGCCAGTTTACTACAACCGCCATTCGCGCCCCTCCATTTGGTTGAACACGGGGGTTATTAATTGATAAATTTTGGTGGAGGCGTTGAATGATTGACACCCCTCTCGTTTTTTAGTTGGTAGAGTTAAAACAGCTCGGCATACATTTTGCAAATTTGCAGCAAAATTTTTGCAAAAAAATCGAATTAAGCTCTAAAAACAAAATGTCTTTTAATCAATAATGGATTATTATTTAGAAAATATTGGACTATAATGGAATAACATGGCAAAAATAATCGATTTACGTGCCAAAAAAATGGATTAAAATCGATTATAATGAATTATAATGGATATTTTTTCTAAAAAATAATAGGTTATAATGGCAATGCAATCTATTTCGTGGTCTGAATTTTACATCTTTAATGGGTTATAATGGATTATTTTTGTCTCGGAAATCCATCATAAAAGATTAGAATCCAAGGGCGCTCAGTGCGGGATTTCATAGAAAAGCGAAAAATATATACATTTTTTTTGAAAATGTTTATACACATTGTAATTGGATTTTATACCAATCAGTTGAGCCGAAATTTCAATTTTGTTCCGATAATTTGTACTGTTAATTAGCCGATATGAAATTCTCCCCAGAGTTATCTCACGAAAAATTCATATTTTTCCCCCTATATTGTTTATGGGTATTGGGGGATTTGATCCGAAATTTCGTTGTGTTTGAGAAAGCGAAAAAAGACAATTAAAAGACCAATTGAAATGCCAAAAATTTTTCTTCCTTTTCACAAAGGACTTTGAACAACAAAATTGTAACTTACTTTGTAATGTACAAAAATAGAAATTTAGAAACATGCTTTTTTTTAATCAGTTTTTGGGCGAATTTGGGAACAAATCAATCGTTTTTGAAACCACATGTAATACTGAAGAAATATGAATCGCAGAAACTTCAAGAGAAAAAATGTGTTCATTTTGAATTTACCTGAGAGCAGAGTAATGTGTTGCATATAATTTGATCAAACGAACAGAAATTAGAAGCGGCTAATTGATCCTTTCACTCTGGCGAATTAAACACTTTTTCAGCTTGAACAACTTTGAATGTCGTTTTGAATTAGAGATTTGCTGCACCACGTTTAAGACCAATCACAAAATCTTTATACTTTGAATTTAACGAGTTTAACCAAGAAGTGAAAACTTCATACGATTTGAGAATTAGCCACTCGAGTCGAGAAGTCGCTCAAAGTAAACAGGTAAAAGCAAAGGCTTAGAATTGATATTTATGTAGGGATTAGATAATTATAAAGAATATTAGTTATTTTCTGGAGTATAGCTCAAGCTATACTACCAGAATATAACTAATACTCTTTATCCACATAAGTAAGGCCAGAGTCTATCGCGAAGTGTTTTGATCCCTTCTGAACACAAGTAAATTGTCCTTGACATAGCTTGAACTCAATCTGAACGTTCTTCAAGCCAAAGTTAAAGGCTATAGCGAGTTTCCAAAAAGGTAGTTTCTACAAGCGGTGCACGCTTCAAAAAGCAGACAAAATGCGGTTGAGCTTGAACTAGTGGGTTAAATTTTAAGTTATGACTCTGCTGTTAGAACCCAAATTTATGGTTTAGAAAACGTTTTGTACTAGCGCATGCATGTAATTCGAGTGATTACATATGTACGGATTTAGAAGGTAAACCGGCGCTCTTAAAATTTTTGTAAAAGCGCCCTTTTGTAAATACTAAATTTGAGAAGGTAGCGCGCGCCCAAAAATGCATTTTTTGGTCAAAACTTTCAAAAGGAGACCACATAAACGGCAGTTTCAGCCGGTCATTTTTTCAAAATTCGAGTGCGGCTTATACATTTTGGCAAAATTTTGTCTGGTTTTGGCAAAATCTTGTTTCAAGAAAGAGAAAAAATTAATTTGAACGACCTAACAAAGCTAAATTGTGTCGCTTTTTGAAATCCGCCCGTTCTCCACCGAGGAATTGCTACATCCGCCCCTTCCAAAGCACCTCAAACGGTGAAAACCTTTAATTAGATAGCTAGTTCTTGTATATCTCTTTAAGCACGATGTACATGACCTCCTTTAAAGCAGCGGCTTGCTGTGCTCTTCAAATTTGCAACATGATTTGCATCCGCTTTTAAAAACCTATATTCTACTTAAGACTCTTAAATTGCAACTAGTAAATTCAGTAGATCTATGTTGGTTGACTAAAGTTCTTAAAGTTAGTTGGGCTACATAAGGGGCTCAATTTGATATAATTATGTCTGTGATTGACTTGTTATTTTAGGCGTAATTTTTGATTAACTAAGAAAGCCAAAATGAACTATTTTTGGGGTAAAATTTTGGGCCCGAATTTTGCAAAACAAATAACACCATATCAATTCTGCTAAAATTTTAAGCAAGTTTTGTCTTCATAAGTTTTCACCTGAACTCAACCCAACTTGAGAAAAACGCGTTTTAATTTTCAAGTTTAACGCATTTTGTCCGGTTAATTTAAATCAGCACTGTAGCAAAAGCAACGTATATAGTGCAGAAGAGTTCAGTCTCGAAGCAGACTTCGTCTAACTTGCAATGAAAACAAAAATGTTCAGATAAGTTTTCTCGACAGTGAGGCATTTTTTTGAAGCTAAATCAAAATTATTTTGGCTATAGTAGTAGTAGTAGTAGTAGTAGTAGTAGTAGTAGTAGTAGTAGTAGTAGTTGAGGCTTCTTGGAAGTCATGCTTCCCAAGGGTTTATGAGTCCCGTCATTTACATGTTTTCATCAAGTTAAGTTTGAGTTTCGAGTTTTTTTCCAGTTGTTACAGTGAATGCATTTGCAGATAATTCTCCAAGTGCATCTGTTTAGATAATTAAATTTTCTGACGAAGTAATCCCAATAAAGTTTGCTTTTTGATTTTTTGTCAAGTTGGCTCTCATATTCTTCGTAGTGTTTGATGACGATGTTGCTTAAGAGTTTCGTTCTGTGAAAAAAGTTTTCGTCTGATTTGTTCAGTCTGTTTTTGTTGACTGCATGTTATCCTCTGCTGTGTTGGCGAGTTTTTTCTTCCTTAGAAGATTCAACAGCAATTGATATGTCATATTTGGAATTTACTAAGGATAAATACATGAGAAGATCGTGCATTTCAACGTAAAGGCATAATGGCAGTAGTTTAAGTTTGACTAGTCTTCCTTTGTAGTTAAGATTGCAATTAAGAATCCACTTTTATGGCCATTACTTGTACTCGTTCGAAACTTACTAAGCTGGCTCTACTTGGTGACCAAGCTTGTGAACAGTAAGTTATAATCGCGACGAGTGGAGTTTGTTAACCCATGAGCACGTAGCGGATATGTTTCGTTTTAATTGGAAAAAGGCTGTTGTTGCCTTTTGGTCACGTATTTCACAGTTTTTGTTCCATGTAAGATTTGGGGTTATTAAGCGGCCCAAATCCTTTTGAACATTCGTGGGATGCAGTTCGGTGTCGTTCAATTTGGCGGATAGATTTCCTCTTAATTTTAGTAATTTACATTTACTCGTATTTGTCGTCATTAAGTTTTCATAACACCAGTTTTCAAGTCCCCGAGCGCCATTCCTTAGGTCGATTTCATTCAGAGCACTTAATTTAAAGTCATCAGCAAAACCATAACTTTCAAGGTGAGGGCTTGCGTTGGGTAGATCATTGATGAATATTAAGAAGAGTAGCGGACCTAGGATAGAGCCTTGGGGTACTCCACTGCTGACTTGTGTTAGATTAGACGAGGCGTTTTCAATTTTAACGAATTGTTTGCGTTTATCGAGATATGAAGTTATGATATTAAGTAGTTTTCCGCCCACTCCAAAAATTTTTAAGTTTATCGATAAGCAAATGATGCGCAACTTTGTCAAATGCTTTTGCAAATTCTAGATAAATGACTGCCAATTCTTTTATGTTTTTGTTGTCGAACTTTTTGTATACAGAGTCTAAAAAGACCAATAGTTGGACTACAGATTGATTTTCATGCAGTTTGTGGCGACTATGTTCCTACAATTGATCAAAAAGAATTTTTTCGAACACTTTTGAAATACAACACAATAGGCTTATCGGACGATAACAGCTAACATCTGCTTTGTTTCCTTCCTTGAATACAGGCGACACCTTGCTTATCTTCCAGTAACTCGGATATGCACTTTTATTCATTACTGTTTTATAAAGCAGAAGGAGTGATTTCGGCAGGGATTTACAACAATTTTTGAGGACAATATTACCAATATTATCGGGTTCTATTGACTTGTTAAGCAGTAAACTTTCAATCACGGTTTCGATTTTCTTTTCCGTAATTTGTATATCGTTAACTTCTCTTTTGGTATGATCTGGCGTTATTGATTGTTTTTTTTTGTAAAAACACTTTGAAAAAATGAGTTAAAAAGATTTCCTCTGTCTTCGCTTGACTCCGCAATTGTTTCGTTGAGCTTTATTATTGGGGGTATTGATGGATTTTTTCTTATTGACGACAGATTTTTCTGTATGTTGCTAAAACGTCGTGTTTGGAATACATCAGCCTCAAAACAACATAGATCAGAATCGATTAAGGAGCTTAACTGTTTTTCCAATCGTTTGATTTTTATAGATCTTTTTATGTTTGGGTTTGGCCATTGACGTTTTTTCGTTGCAATTTTCTTTATTAGAAAAGAAGCTTGTTTTGAGATCCAGGGTGGAAGTGACGATCGATGTTTCGTGACTTTGATACCACGCGTGACTGCCTACGATTTCTCCTCAATTAGTCAAATCCGGCAGATAATCCAATCTAATTTTTTGCTCTTTCACATCCTTTTAGGAGGGTAGTCGGAATGGAATGTTAACACGTATGATATGCTATTGGCCCTGCATATCAGTTTATACATAGATATGAGTAGTCAAATTGGTATGCGTTAAGTTAACCGAAGTGTCAATAATTTACCAGATAAAGCAAATTACTTGATACTCTCATCCAGTAGGGACGCCTTTTCAGGGATTTGGCCTCCTGCCCGCGTTTTCACTGATAATGAACTTTCGGTTTACTGAACTGGTCCGTTCGTTTTTGTTTTAATGACATATCAATTACCTTAACAAACAACAATATAATATACAATCTTGGTCCCCTTACTTGGATATACTCCTTTTTAAAGCTCCGCTCAGAGTGATTCATGAAAAAAACGACGTAATTTCTCTGAAGTTTTTTTTTCAGAAATCTACATCTCCAATTTAGGCGTAATGTAAAAAAGTAGCATCTTCTGACGCAATAGTTTGGAGAAGAAAGCAGCCTCAATGCAATTTCGGCTATTTTCCATCGGTATTAAACTATCTTACCCGTACTGACAAGAAATGGAATGCAATCAATTTTATACAAAAAAGGTGACAAAATCCTAAAAGTATGATTTGCATTGATTTTAAAACTATTTAGTTTGATACAAAAATGTTGCGAAAAATCAATTTCAATCAATTCTAAATCGATTTAAATCGATTTTGTCAAAAATTTTTGGCTTCATTTTCATACGTGTTTTGAGTTACAATGAAATATATAATTTCTGATTTTTTCGGTTTTCAAAAAGTAAAGAAAATTGGAAATAAAATTGTAAGGTATGCTTCTGATTTAGCTTTCGCGTTCATTTTTGGCCTGAAACAAATCTCTAAGTATTTTGTAATTTTTCCGCCCTAAAATTGTTTTTAATGTTCTAAGTTGAGAGTTTCAATAATATGTCATTCACCCAAGATAAATGAGCCTAGGACGTTGGCAAAGAAATTGAATTATGAAGACTTCGTGAAGATTTTACTGATACTGAGCACTCTTTATGTGACACTCACACTGTCGCTCCAATGGGAATTTTTCTTGAGTACAAAAATTTGCTCAGGTTTCGAAACAAAAAGGTTTGGACTAAATTAATTTTGTTGAGATTTTGATATATTTCACTGCCTTGCAAAAATCCATAAAGACTGATTTTTTCTACAGTATTTTCTACTTATTCTGCCCAAAAATCAATGTTTCAACATCTTGAACTGAAACTGTTCCGCTTTAATCTGAATGATTAGAATTTCAGTACCATCTCGAATTGTTTTGTTCCCAATTAAAGTCGAATTATAATGGGCTTAAAATGAAGAATGTTTGGTAGACTACCCAAAATTGTTTCATATACGCTCCAGAGTTTAACCCAGATTAGAAAAAAAACTCAGAAAACAGCTCCAGGGAAAAAATGACCACTTGTATCAGCTCAAAGGTCGGCCTTGTTAGAAGTCGGCCTTGTTAGAAGTCGGCTCCAGAATAAAGTGATTGCCTTAACCAAATCAACCAGTGCTATCAGTATGTTTTTCTCATCATATACACAATGAAAATTACAAAACGGCACAATTAGGAAATTTGGGCGGAATCAGTAAAAAGACCCAATTAATTTAATCCATTCTAAATCAATTTAAGCAGGGGCGGATCTAGGATTTTTTTGAGGGGGGGCGGATTTTCAAAAAATTTTCGAAAATTTTGACGACCTTTTTTTTTTTTTAGGTCGACCAAATTGATTTTCCGCCCCCCCCCCCCTAAATCCGCCCCTGAATTTAAGTATATAAATGATTTTCGTACAGCATATTATTTACGTACAGCATATTATCTTTAGAAAAATTGATTTAAATTAATTCCAATCTCGAGTTTGCTAGTGCGGGTGAATAGAATTAGCCCATTTAGCAATTTTAAAGATCCGTAACTCTAAGGAGATTGATGGCAAGTGAAGCTATTTGCGGAGATTAGGGTATTAGTTTAAATCATAAGGAGAAATCATTCAGCGAGAAGTGTTCATCAACGAAACTTGTCTGAGAGAAAAACCACACAGAGCACTTATACTCCAATTTTTTGTTAACTTAGGAGAATCAAACAACTTTAGAAGTCAACAGCTTAATGATCTTTCTAGTAGGTTTCCAGCTTAATGATCTTTCTAGTAGGTTTCAAGTTTTAATATTGTACAAAACAGGATCAAGTTTTCGCTTTATTCAAAGGTTCAAAATCACAACTTTTGAGCCTAGCTTTTTGTTCAAAAGCCAGGACAACCGATTGAACTCCAAGACCATAATTGGATGCAAAAACCTGTCTTTAATATGATACTTGATCTCCTACAAGCTAAAGTTCATTTTTTTCATATCAGTCAAAAAACGAACCGTCGCCATAATTTCGAATCCTTGAAAAAATATTTTTAAATTTTTTTTGGCTTGTAATTAGTTTACTTAATCTTTGTTTTAGTTTGCGGATATTTGAAAAAAAATTGTTGATAATATTTCAACGTAAAAAATTATGCAAATTGATTATACCCTTAGCAGACAAATTTTACAGGAAATACTTTAACCCTCGAAGTTCGTTAACAAATGGTTTTGATTCAAGTTTCTTTCAAACTTGATGTCTTTTTGATTTACTGTTTTTACCCGGGGGCCCTTATGTCAGAATAATTTAATACGCGAAAAATATGCTGGTACTATAGTCAATCAGAAGTCAGTATTCAACTATTAGAATGAAATGAGCATGAAAATCAGTCAGTTTTTGACAGGTTGAAGAGGGTTGATTGCTCAGGAATTTTAGCGCATTCGATCTTTCGGCCACGAGAACAGCCCTTATTTGCTCTTTTGGGATCCGTTAATATGTCTTGCGTCATATACTGCCAATGCTATCATCAGGCCGAACTGGCCAATTGAGAGGGCGGATGCAACTATTGGAAGAATCTGCGACCAGTCTAATTCCAGATGATCAAATCGATCATACGCCATTTCAGCCGATGCAGTCGCGAAGTTCAACACCAGAACTGAAATAAACTCAAGTAAAGTGCAAACTTCAAAAATATAGAAATATTAAAAATATATGTTTTTAATTATATTTCCGTGTGAAAACTTTGGTTGTGACGGTGTTAAAATTTTCCTCAATTAATTTTATTGGTTTACCATGCACACAACGCCGAACTTTTCTCATCAGAATTCAGAAACAACAAAATTTAAAAAAAAATCTTCAAAAGATAGAACTTTTGGAAAAAAAGAAGAGAATCGAAAAACCCAGGCAAACTGATCTATCAAAAAGTACAAACGTTACTTCAGACTCGAGCAGAAAAAAAACCAACTGAAAGTATTCGGTTCATTCGTTCATCTGGTATTGAAGTTGAGCAGCTTGAGCTAAAGAGTTTAAGTGCTGATTCCAGGGGCGGATCTAGGATTTTCTCGAGGGGGGCGGAATTAAAAAAAATTATCTTAGGTCGACCAAACTGATATTCCGGGCGCTCTCAGAACACTATAAAACCCTGTTTTGATTTCCAAAAAAATTTGTGCCGCAAGCAAATTTTTGAAAAAAAGGTCAAAAATTCCCTTCAAAATTAGTATATATTGGCGCTAAAGGCACTTTTAGAAAGTTTTAGGATTGGTCTGTCTAAAATTTTCATCAAATATACCAAAACAGAGACCCTTTGGTCAAGGAGGGGGTCGAATCTTACGATATTCTTAACAATTTTCAAGACATTAACTATAACTAGCGGTGGCGGTGGCGGTGGCGGTGGTGGCGGCGGCGGCGTCTTCGTCTGCGGATTCTGCGAATAAAAAACAATCACCGGATACTCTGAACACTTGGGGTTCATAAGTCGGTTCCCTATTCGTAAACGGTAATAATTCATAAGTCGGAATCTAACCATGAATAGCTGCAATTGGGAGCATCATCCTGACCAACAGGGGTCTCTTGCCTTCCCACTTGCCATAACCTAGGAGCAACAGAGGCAGTACAACTGACACCACGTGATCTGATATGAACAGACTCCGGGACAGTTTGAACTCCAGCTCACTCTCCTCGAATACGGACCTCTCCCAGAAGTCTGAAACAAAGTAAGGTCGACACATTTCATATTTTACAATTCAGCTTTTTTATGAGCTTACGAACTTTTTTGCTATTAAATACCTCACCGAATCGATCTGTATTTTTTAAATTCAGTTTTTTCCTTGATCGTATGTGCTTTTTTAGCTTTCATATAACTGCATCGATATTCTCAACTTGCTCATCTTCAATAATCAAACCACTTCAGTTCTTAGAATGAATCATTGCAGTCCCGAAGCATGAATTTATAGTACACAAAATTTTGGGCGAGACAACCAAACTATCTTACAAAACAGATCAATTCATTGTGAAATTTCAGTCAGATATCCGTTTTTAATAAAAAAAACTCTTCTGATTTTATATGCACTTAAAATTGAACATAATTGCTTTCCTCCTCAAAAGTGTTGTGAGGCAGTGCCACGCACAACAAAATTTTTTAGTTTTTTCAAACTTTTTTTGGCTCAAAACGATTTTGGTTTTAAAATTTGTAAGGAGGTTGCCTCAAAAATAACAATTTAAGTTTTTCCTGCTCAATTTTTGTGGCGAATTAGTGATTTTTCGGTACTTTAGAATAACTTGGTTGAAATTTTGAAAAAATCATCTCTTTCACCGATTCGCGCGCTTGTACGATTTGCGCGCTTGTACAAAAAAGCTGTGTCATATAGTGCCAAAAAAAACTAGCTTTTTAGTGACGAAGTTCCGAAATGTTGTAAAAAAATTTATACTTTTAACTACTGAAAACTAGAGGTTGAAAACATTCCCTGGTCAAAGTTAAAACTGAATCACATTAAGAAGTCGCTTCTGGGGCTGACACCACGACTTGTTTAACACCAAAGGCAATAGCTGTCTGTACCCAACTGCCCGCATGTCTTGATTATGAATTCTCTCAGGAGAAAGTCGTCCAAACACATTTCGTACTTCTTATACTCAGTGGTACATTTCGCCTCTCGCTCGTTATACCCATCTCTCTCTCTCTCTCTCACACAAGATATAGTAATGAAATTTGGCGAAATATTTTAGGGCTGCGGTTACCCGGGTTGACCAAAACTTCTAATCATACAATTTCCATTTATGAAAAACTTCTTGTCATACAATTCCATACAATGCCATACGTACAGAACATTGTATGAAATCTCTATGACAAACATTTTTCCATAAATGAAAATTGTATGATAGGTGTTTTTCCATAAACCAAAAATTTTGATTTTTTTCTTTCTAAATTTTGTTTCTGAAAAGATTTCGGTTGCGTTTGCAACCGATCACAAGTGACAAAGACCTTGGTTACTCAAAACACCAAAGGTTGGACGGTCTTGCATTTACAATGCATAGCTAACGAACTGAATTTGGCTGTTTTTCACAATTGATATAACAAAAGTAACGAACTTTTATTTTTTGGCAAAATTTTTTAATGATGATTATTTTAAATTTTCGAATTTTCAAGTTATCAGACTCAAGTTATCAAAAAGAAATAGGAATTTTCAGCGTCTTTGAAAAAAAAATTTAAGTGAAAAGAAAATAAAAGCCAATTTTATTGTATCCAGGACTACGTTATGCACACAAAATAATAAATTTTGCATGCAAAAATTTTTTTTCGAAAAATGTTTGTTTACTTACGAAATTCGATTTGCGGTTGAAAAAAAAACAGAACATTTTTTGGACCAAATTTTCAAAATTACTTGAAAAATTTTCTGTGTCGCCATCAAAAAAATGTCAGTCATACAATTTCCATATATGGGAATTGTATGATAAGCATTTTTTTTCAAAAAACGAGAACCTCAGTTTTTTATCACCAGACTGTTTTATAAGAATCAAACAGCCACAGAAATAAAATTATACCAGTTTTCAACCATTTTTAGAAATTGTATGAAAATTGTATGACAAGCATTTTTCCATACACTTGATGTATGGAATTGTATGATAACCATTTTCGGTGTATGGAGGTCAACCCGGGTATTTGCCACTAAATTTAAGAAGGGCAAAAGTTGTAAGAATTGCCGCAAGCGGTGAAAAGTTAAATGTGCGACAATCCCCAAATTACTGCACTTACGGCACGGTGCTACTTTGATTCTGGCATCCTCCCCCTCCCCCTCCCCCAAGAACTTTGTAATGAGCTCCTTGAGCAATCGCATCCTCTGGTATACTGACCTAGTTTCTGACATTGCCAAGACTCTGTAGTGAGATACTTTGTGCAGTATTTCCACAGCCCCACTCTCAGATATGAACTGACTGTGCCGTGGACCCCATGGGCACAGAAGGGCAAACCCCAAGTAGACACAGCCAGAAGGAGAGAGAACGTGAACAGAACTTTGCCCACTGTCACTTCCATTAATGAACGAATTTTTGTTGAGTTTTTGTCGAATTTTTGTTAATTTTTTACACTCAAGAATAAATGCGAAGATTAGGCGTGAAATTTTCGTGTAGGAATAAATTGAATGTTTAATCTCAAAATTAAAATGCGAATTTCAGATATAGCTTTTCAGATGTAGTTCAAATTTGAATCAAATTGGGAATTGTGTTTATAATATCTTAAATTTGTGACTTAAAATATGATTTAAAATCAAATCCCTGTTTTAGTGTGAATCCGACTTTAAGTTAAAATGTGTTACTAGGAACCACGATTGAATAAGGAAATATTTGAAAAAAACTTAGCCTTCAATGACGACTGACTTAATTTCAATCAACAGTATAATGCAAATTACCACAAAATTTTAGTTAGTTTTTTTTCTATTTAAAACTAAATAACAACTATTGATCTCAATAAAATACATGTGTTACAGTTCTCTTAAAGTTGTTGATATTATGGTTTTAAGTATGGATAATGCTCAATAGCGCGTATCGTTAAAAAATTTTCTTCTACATCGTCATGGAAATGCTTAGCTTCATAAAACATATGGAGGTACTCAAAACAACGTTACTGAAACGTGATAAGGAGAGATCAAGCTTTTGTTCAAATGTCAAATAAATCCTTTAAAAATACAGCCTGTCGGTGTTTGAATGTTTTTCAAATAAGTGCATGGCTCCTGTTTACTTGGAAGTGAAAAAGGATTTTTTGACTGCATGTTTCTTGTATTAGGTGAAACATTAAAACTTCCGGTACATGTGTCATTGTTTCGTCTTTCAAATACAGAAATACAGAAATAATCAGAAAATTTTATGACAAATCAAATAGCAATTGACAATTAGTAATTCTAGCTTCAAAGGATTTGAAAGTTTTTTTTGCAATTTTCTTGCAGTTCTAATTTTTTTTTTTGCTGAGTTACCTACATACAATAAGCTTATTTCCACATTTTGAGATATTCGGTTTAAAAATGGTTTTTTTGGTTATCAGTTTATTGGTACATTGGCATATTGTCCTCATCGCTTTCAACAGTTTGGTATACAGTGCTGATTTAAAATACCCGGCAACAACGAAAGACATTCGATAATTCAAACGCGTTTTTCTCAATTTCGGGTAAAAAAGATCTTTTTCTCAAGATTTGAAAAAATCACTTTTACTATACAAAAATAGAAATTTTTGCTTGAAAACAAATTCGAAATTTTTGCGCAAAATTTTGGAAGTTTTGTTTTCTAGAACTTTGTTGGGCTGCGTGAGAGGCTTCTTTAATTATTACTTTCTCAACAATTGATTTGGTAGTTTCAGCGTAATTCTGGATTGTTTACAAAAAAAAACAATTTAATTCATTTTTGGGGTAAAATTTTGGTTGAGGAAAAACAAGTGGCACCATATTTATTATGGTGAAATGTTAAGCAAGTTTTTGCTTCCTCACTTTTTGATGATTTTAACCGAATTTGATAAAAAATGAGTCGGAAGTTCCAAGTTTTGTTATAATGATTAATCTTGTTTAGACAAAAACCGATGCTTCAAGAAACAAAAACCCGAAAATGAATCAATCAGCTGATTATCACAAGAAATAGAAATAAGCCGGTTGTCTGTAGAAACATGCGCAATCAAACAAAACTTGAATTAGAACTAAAAATTTTGAACTAGAACTATAAAATAAAATTGTACGGGTTTTCACTAGAAAGTTTACACAAAACAGTTTCCCAATGTAAAAATCAAGAGACGACTTCTTGACCACTATCTCAAAGGTATATGTAGTCTCACATCACAATATGGAAACTACACAATAGAAATCAGATCACCAAACGCATTTCATGACAAATATCTCATTCAAACTGATTACGTAGATATTGAAATTTCAAAAGTTTTTAAAAAATACATAAAAAGTATACAACACCAAAACTCAAAAAAAGCAAAGTCAATATTCACAAACGATGTGTTTTCGCTTATCTATAGCTATTTATCTGTATTAGAATTGAAAGAAATTTAAGATCTAACTAGTAATGACATAACACAACTTGTTAAACACGATTTACAAAAAATCTTAGCAAGGTTCATAATCGATTATTTTAGTCATAATATTGATTTTATTGCACAAGCACGAAAAAATTTTAGACCACAAAATACAGATGACGGAACCATAATAGCAGAACAAACAGATTGTGTTTGGGACCCTGAATGGTCTCATAAATCATTTATTAATATACCAACAGATATATCAAATCAAGCAATTAGCACAATCTCTATTCACAAAGATTATGTTAGAGTATACACACTTACAATTGACGCAACACCTTTAAACTATAATTCATTCTTCCCTGAAAGAGCAGGAAATAATAGTTTAAACTCTATTTAAACGCAACAAGAAATCTCACACAACAAGATATACAAACCCCATCACATTTCGTAAATGAAGAAAGAGTTGAAACAATAACAACAACAGAAGCAAAACAAAGCATTTCACCTATTCAACCCAATTTTACAACTCTAAAACTAAAAAACCCAACGCTACAACAAACCTTTATTATACAATCCACAGTAAAACCATCTGTTGCTCAAAATTATTTACAAATGGACTACCCAACGTTTCGACCAGTAACAAAACCATCATATAAACAAAAAACATCACTAAAAATAATTTCGCACAACATAATTATAACTATGTAAAAAGTTCAAAAACAACAAAACCTTCTAATATGAATACTCAGAACTACTCATATTCACAAAGTCAAAAAATACCACAACCGACTTCAAATTTAGTAAATTCCGATAATCAACCACGATCCTCACTAGAACAAACTGAAAATTACCCATTTTTTCAACATAATAAATATAATACAAATAGATAACATATAAGAAATCAACCTCTTAATTAAACATCTAATTATTTTCCATCAGTTGATGAGGAACACAATAATCAAAATCATCAACGATTTTATTCAACCCAAAAACTCGTTCTTACGATATTGACCAACCAGATATTTTCGAACCACACACACGAGATGAACAAATACAACAACATAGAAATAATCCATTACCTTGCAACAAAAATTTTCAACAACAAAATTCAGTCAATACACAATCTTACCAACCAACTCAAATGCAAAACGCAATCCCACTGCCATATTATTTACAACAACATGAAATAACAAAAATCAACTTTCAAACTTTTCTCAAATGCCAAATGCCGCAGAATCACTAGAAATGACTATGAATCCATACCTAATGGGTAGATCAGCAATGTCATCGAATAAGCCACTAATGGTATTTAAAGGCACAGACCCTGAATACTCTGTGGAAGATTACCTAAATTCAGTCACAGCAAATTTGATTTTAAACATAGGACCTGAACCAGTAAATACGCCACTTCATCAAAATTGGATAATAGACGCACAGCCTTAATCCAAACCACACATGACGGCGCAGCCCAAAAATGTATTTCAATTTTACCTATAGAAACAAAATCATTTGGAAAAAATTCACACAAGATTTCTCAAAACTGTTTGATTCTGAAAGAAACAAACAACATCAAAGAGTTTTATGCAATGAAATTCGTAGACTTCCAAATGAAACAATTAAACAACTTGCAGTGAGAATTGAAACACTAGTCCAAAAAGCATACTCACTCAATACCCATGATTATAAAAACACAAAGATGACAGAAATCTTAATGTTGACTCTTGCACCTCAATTGCTTAAAATAGCAACAAAAACGAGAGCATCACATCCTTCCTCAATCCGAGAACCAGATTTAGACATTAGGAATTTAATAGATAAACTAGAACAAGCAGAAATAAATATGAAACTAGAAAAAACGGAAAACCTAAAGCTACAATATGTCAACAACATCCAAACCACTACTTCACAAATAAACAATGTTCACGACTCCGATACAGAAATATCTGAAAAAATCACTGAAATCTTAAACATCTAGAAAAACCCAAATTTTAAAGGTAAACCATCATTCAAAAAATGGTGCAGTTCTTGCCAAAGATACTGACACAGCAAAAACAACAAGATAATCAAAATAAACCTCAAAAAAATAGAGAACCAAATAAATCATTTTATCACTACATGAAAAAAGATCGATTTTACCTAACAAAAACATTCATAGTAAAAATAGTTCGGGAAAACCATTTCCAAATAACTCAAATTACTCTAGACAACAATCACTCTAAAATCCGAATTATCAAGGACGATCACCAAATCGAAGAAATCCACAAAGATTCTCAATTGTCAGATCATCGATCAAACAGTCGAAATAGTCAGTATCGAAAAAACTATTCCAGATCAATTTCAAGCCGACCTGACTTTTCGTTTAATGCCTGTTCCCTATCAAATTCTAGAAATAGATATTATTCAAATGATCGATCTAGAAACTCTTCAAACGATAGAAATCGAAATTATTCCAACGATAGGAATAGAAACTATTCAAATTATCGAAATCATAGATATCAAAATAATAAATCACCCGATTATTCTAGCAATAGATCAAACCATCAAAGATCAAATTATAATACCTATCAAAACAGATCACGCGAAAATTCACAGAACAGAAATTCAAGCTATTACAACAGACAAAGAAACTACTCTCAATCACCACATAGGAATAACACACGTTATCAGAATTCACAACAAAATTATAGAAGTAGTACACCTAAATAACAAAGGCAAATAAATCAAAAAAAAACAACTGAAGAAACTCAAACAGGCCACACTAGTATTGATAATAACAAAAGCACAGAATTGCAATTAAACCACATCAATTGCGAATCCACAGACAGTGAAAGTGACACAGACAATGCAATTTCAAATAACAAGATAAATGTTGAAAATGACTTCAAACCTATTATATACGAACAACCAATACACTCAAATATCCATCAAAATCATGAGCAATTTCTCTTAAATTATTATTCAAGACCTATAAGCAGTAAAAAGACAATAGAAAAATTAGTAGAAGAAATAACAGAAGAAAAACCCACAGAATGTTCAAGCACAAATAACATTTATCAAAATATACCTAAAGAAACGCAATTACCAAAATACAAGATTTGGACAATTCCACCTCTTTTAGAAAGTCCAAAAATCAAAGAATTTTAAACACCAGACCTTGAAATTGATTTTTCTAATAGATTCCGGAGCGGAATCAAACATCATTAACATCCCCACATGGAACGAAATTAAAGTTTTAAATCCAAAATTAATACCCTTCAAAACAACAAGTAGGCTAGCAACAGGACAAGGATCAACCTTAACAAATTATTCCAAATTTTCCTCGTTCCCACTCGAACAGTGGAACAAAATAAACTAATGAGCAAACCATTTAAGCAAACCTTCCATATCACAGATATAAAACATAATATCATTGGAATCCCATTTATTACTAAATATATACCAACTATAAATATATTAATTAGCAGAACTCACATTAAAGATAAATACACAAGAATGAAAACCACGGCTTTAACATGTTTTCAAAGAATAAACAAACAACCATCATTTTTCTCTAAATTTTATCTTA